ATTCTTGCTCTGCTCACTGCTATGGATACACACCTTGGCTGCCAGTCTCCAACAAGTTCAGTATTATCTGCAGTGACCAGCAGCAGCTTTCCAAGATTTCACACAGAAGTATTTGCCAGCCCTACCTGGAGATGCCAGGGTTTGACCTGGCATATTATGCATGCAAACCACTTGCCCTACTGCTGGACCCACATCCCTTCCCTGAAGAGAAGCAGCCAAAATTGCCAGTCAGGAGAGAACACAGGAAGAAGAGAGGAGCATTCTGCTAAATTTAGAAGACTATTCTGAGTTTTTAAAGAGAAGTGCAATGTCTCTGGGTCAACACTTGGCAGCCTTGAATGTCAATGAAGATTGAAATGAGAGCATTCCCTTACACCAGTGATGGCCAAACTTGGCCCTCCAGATGTTTTGGGACTACAACTCCCATCGTCCCTAGCTAACAGGACCAGTGGTCAGCGATGGTGGGAATTGTAGTCCCAAAACAGCTGGAGGGCCAAGTTTGGCCATCACTGCCTTACACATATTCTTGATACAAGTCAATTTCATCAGTCTGTGTTAATTTGTTACAGTTATGGGGTATCCCAGGTCCTCCTTCCTTCCTTCCTTCGGAGCATGTGAATATTTGGGAGTGGCTGTTTAACAAGGGCTGGTGCAAGCACATAAGGACCAGCATCCTGGATTAGAACATCTCCTTCCTTGATTCAACATAGGCTGGTTCCAAATGTTTTAGAGCATTTTAGAACAGCTACAAGCCATAGATCAGTGGTAGCCAATGTGGTGGTCTCTGGACATTGTTGGATTGTAACTTCCATCATCCCTGACCACTGGGCATGCTGACTGGGACTGATGGGAGTTGGAACCTAGTAACATCTGGGTAGGGGGCGACTACCCCTGATCTATGGTTTGTAGCTGCTTGCTTGCTCTCAGAAACTAGCATGCAACAGCAGCCCCTCGCCCAACTCCCCAAACTGCAGGTGTTCCCCATGAACATGAAACCCAAACCTACAGTGTGTAATAAAGAGAACCACACTGAGTGCAACCTGTGGTCCATACATCTCTGCATCCTGTTTATCTTATCATAAGTGATCAGAAGAGGACAGCCCACTGGTGCCATGGGCTTCCCTTTTATTGAGGAAAACTCAACACAGTTCTGTGCTGTTTTGAACTCTTCCCCGGGGGTGTTTTAAATCCCGGCACTTTCTTTGGTTCCTTCAAAACTGAATGGAATTTTTCTTGCTGTCTCTCAAGCAGCAGACAGATTCCTCAAGGAGGATTATAAAGCAGCATGATGGTGAGCCTAATCCCTAGCATCTGGTGGATAAAGTATGCTGACAATAAAAATGCAACTCATTTTGCAGTTAACACAAGGCTATTAGCAACTGATGTAATCATTTGATCCTCTTAAGGCTGATGACTGTAACATCCTGTGACAATGCGTTCCACAGGTTGATTCTTTATTACACAGAGAAATATTTCTTTTTGTTTTGTATTTGGACACTTTAATATACATATATTTTTCCTAGTCTGGATTTGATATTGACAGACAGACACACACACACACACACACACACATTAAAACAAACGAACACTTTCTATATTGCCCTCTAAAGTGCTATGTATACTGTGTGGTATCTAACGAAGTAGCACCAAGATTGGTAGATGCTGAAATCACAGGAACAATTTGAAATAAATTGTCGGCTGCTGAGGGAAGGTGAATTCAGAGTTGTTGATTTATTGCAGACTGACACACATCCAATTGGGTTACATGAGTCCACTTTTGGTAACATGTCAGGACAAATTATTATTATTAAATGATGTCTTGAAAGTCTATGCAATGTAGAAGTTAAGAGTGGGATTGTTTGACTGCATATTTTAATTATGGATATTTGTATTGTAATATCTATGTCATTGTTTTTAACCCTTGTAAACTGCTTAGAAATCTATTTTGGCATCAAGCAGTATATTAATTCACACAGAGTGTTTGACCAAGACTGTGGAGACAATTGTCGCAAAAGCGTGAGGACTACTGCTGCCTGCTTAATAGGGCTCCCTCTCCTCTCCTCACGCCCCACCCAATATTTTTAAGGAATTCTCTCAGCCCACTGGAGCAGATTGAGGGAGCATACAGTGAGAGGAAGTCCCCTTGCGCAGAGAAAAGTCATTGTGCTAATTGGATGGCTTTGTTGGCTACAGCTCCAAGATTCAAATCCCCACTCAGCCTTTCCTACCTCACAGGGCTGTCGTGAGGATAAATTTTGGAGGGGGAGCATGTATGCTACTTTACGTCTCACATTCAGCGCACCATTCTTCCCAGCCAAGCGAATTTCCTGATTACCCACCTAATATTTAGCCATCTTTCAAGGAAGCTGCAGCATCTGATGAATGCTAGCTGAAAGCCAAGGTTGCTATCCCAAAAGAGGAGTTTACAATGGAAAGGGAAAGGCTTCATTATGCAAATAATGCCCATCACAGAGGATAGCTTACAGCTCTTGAGTGTGAATCCACTCCCATGGTGGAAGTTGAGCAAGCAGAGGAAAATGAATCAGCAGACCTCTGCACATGTCCTAATATCGACTTCAGCAGAGTTCTAAGAGGAGCTCAAGTTGGCTATTTGCAGGATTCCACCCAAAGGGACACTAATAAGGCAAAGGTAAAGTTAAAGGCAAATGACTCCTGGATGATTAAGTCTTGTCAAAGGCAACTATGGGGTTGTGGGGCTCATCTCGTTTCAGGCCGAGGGAGCCGGGGCTTGTCCACAGACAGCTTTTTGGGTTGTGGGTTCAGCATGACTAAACAGCTTCTGGCACAACAGGACACTGACAGAAGCCAGAGTGCACAGAAATACCATTTAACTTCCCACCGCAGTGGTACCTATCTATCTGCTTGCACTGGTGTGCTTTTTAACTGCTAGGTTGACAGAAGCTGGGACAAAGCAACAGGAGCTCACCCCATTGCAAGGATTCGAACCACTAATAGCCATGCTCTGCACGAGTTTGCAAAGTTCTGTTTTCCAGGGCTCTCTTTAGATCTAGCACAGCCATTCATCAAATCATCTTCAATAAGACTTGACACAACACTGCAAAGGGGAAAACCTGTGGTTTTGTTTGTTTGTTTGTTTTCCCATTTTATTTTGTTTTATTTTGAAATATTTATTACCCTCTCAGGTTATTAACCAGATTTACGTTATCATATTAACTGAAACTGATTCAAAAACAACTATGATAAACAATATAGTCTTATACACAGCACAGAAGTTAAGTCCCATTTCCAAGGCTTACTTTCAGGGGCAGGATATTGCAACCTGAGTTGTATTTTGAATTAAAAATCTGTAATGCCGTCCCTAGTAAACTCACGCCTGTGATTGTGCCCCTAAACCACAATCCTCAAGACACTTACCATAGACTAGAGTAATTCCATTCAGGCTTTATTCTCTGAAGGTTTATTAGTTTGTGTGAGTCTTGAGCCAACTCATTTGCTTAGAGCACCAGGGTTTAAATGGCAAAATATTAAATGCATCAGTTCTTAATACTGCATAAATGCTTCAGCATTTGGACTCCCCCACAATAAATGAGGAGAATGGCTCCACTTGCCGTTTCTGTGTCTGTTTTGCAAAAGCCAGGTAGTTTAAATCCACTTAGCAACAACAATCACAAATGTTCATGTCACACATGCATTTTGCCACTTAAATGTGTTATTCCCAAGATTCAAGGCAAAGTGTGTGCATACTGTATATATATATATAATTCAGGGTGAAGAGTACATTTGCACTGCATCTCTAAGTGCAAAAATATTTCACTATGACCCTGATGGCCAATGAGTCCAATCCTATGCAATGCAGCAATCTCAATTTAGGGGCTTTGCTAGCAAGATGCATTATCTATCTACCATTTACAGTTTCTGTGTTTTCATCTCCTCAGACTCCACTAGTTCTGTCATTCCATCGTTTCCATTTGCTCAAGGCCACAGAGTGAGTCCATGGAACATATGGAATATGAACTCAAATCCAAAGTTCATTGATCAGCAAGTATCTGCTGGAGGTGGGTAGACAGGACACAATATATAATAAAAATTAAGGCTTGACCTCTACCATAACAGGGCTGTTGTAAGGATGGTGTCTATGAAACATCTTGGGGCACTCAAAAGAAATATGTACATTACTGTATTATTATTGGTCTTTGCTTACTGTCTGTGAGGTTCTAACCAGCTGACAGTACCCCCCTGTTCCACAAAAACTGTTTTGGGTCAAAATGCCACAGTATTTGCTGCTTTTTAGGCTCTACAAAGTAACTTCCAACAATTCTGAAATCAAAGGTAGTATACCTGCCCCCACTGTACACTGGTCTTAAAACTGGAGTATTAACCTGAGAGTATCAGGTTCATGCAGAAGCATGGCTTCAAGTTCTTTAAAGTTTCCCCACAACATTGATGGCAATAGGAACCCCCAAACCCCTTGCTCCTTCCCCATATAAAAGCCACCTCCATGAATTCCAGATGATCCTTTATCCTCCTTAAAATAAGTGGTATTTCCTTGCGAGGAGACATGTATGCGATTATGCTTACGACCCTTCTCTGGAAGTAAAGTTGCAGTTTTGCGCGCAACTCACGCAGCAGCAAGCCCCCCCCCCCCCGCCGGACTCAGCGGACCTGACTTCCGAGTAAACGCGCATGTCTCAACATTGAGCTCAGCGAAAGGATCAATCTGCGTGCGAGGATGTTTCCTTCTGTGCCGGAAGGAGCACTTCTCTTTGATTTAATGCGTGGGAGATGGACTAATTAAATCCTTCCCCCGCTTGATGGTGTTTTTCGGGATTCTGAACCAAAGTGGGGGAAACCCTAACTTTTAAAAAAGGCAATTAAAAGGAGAGAGAGAGCGCAGAGGTTTTGTTCTCTTCCGATTGCCCTGGAGGAGGCTGGTTGTTTGTTTGTTTACTTGCAAAGATGGATTCGGGACGCTTCGTGCGCCTCTTCGCTCCCCTTAAGGGGCTTCTGATCCAATCAGGCGCTCGAAAGCGCTACGCCAAAGCCCCTCTGCGCCCCTTGCGCTCCCGGACTCAGCGCGCACGCTTCCATCACATGGGCGAGCCCAGCGGCCGGCCCGAGACTACAACGCCCGGCGTCCCCTTCTTCGCCCTGATCAATGGACCTTATTTGAATAATCTGTGAGCTCTTGGACTCAGGCCAATCAGCTGTCAGGGACCCATGATAAATCGCAATGCATTATTGATAATCATAATTACTCTGACATGCGCATTCCGGTCCAGGGGAGTAATTTCCCAACTCTAGGAATTTGTTGTGAAGAAGAAGAAGAAGAAGAAGAAAATAATTGCTACTATTTTGCTCCCGATGCGTGTGCACCATGTCGAGGCGCAAGCAGGCGAAGCCCCAGCACATCCATTCGGACGAGCAGCAAGCCCCGCGCGCAGCAAATGGTAAGGGCGACACCGCCGCAGCTCGCGGGTCAGTCGCTAACTTTAATTGATGGGCGAAAGAAATCGACGAGGGAATCGGATCTGCGGGGGAGGGGACGGGGGGTGGGAAGAGAGAAAGCGAGGTCGCTTTTGTGCCAGGGGGGTCTTTCTCCCAACGTTGCGCGCTGGGGTTGCTGGTTCGCGATCCTTGCGTCCTCCTTTCGGAATCTGGACCACTTTTATCCCACCTTTATTTCTCACGACGGCAGGAACGGATCGGATAATGTGCGTGCTCCTGTTATTATTATTAATAATAATTTTAATATTCTAGGTTGGGACCCGTTCTCTCTCTTCCTCCTCCCCCCCCCAAAAAAAAATCAGTGTTGGACCTGGCTTCCGATCACTTTAGCTTTGGGTAGGATGAACTCTCAATACATATATTTTTATTTAAAAAGACAACAACTCAGGCTTTTGTAGTGTGTGGGACTTCACCACCACCCCGCACCAGGGGGAAAAAGTTTCTATGGTGGTTCTAAGATCTCTTTAGCATCAACACCCCACCCCACTCCATTGTGTGGGACAATCTTGTCCTTAAATCCCAATGGATGTTGCTGGAAGGTAAGTCATTTTTCCTCCTCCCCTCCCCCCCCCCACACCTCCAGGAAATATTTCTGGGAGGGATGGGGCATAGGCGAGAGCAACACCTTTTGTAATGCAAGGCTGGCTGGCGGGGGGGGGTTGAATATTTCCCCCCACCCTTCCATCTCTTTCCTTATTTGGATGGGTCTCTTCCTCTCTCCACTCCTGTGCACCAAAAACTTTGGGACGATCTTGGTGTTGGGGTCGGAGGGAGGAGAGCGAGCGAGAGATCGCAATCACTCGGGACCTTTTGTAGCCTGACCTCCAGCCATCTTTGATTTCCGACTTCCTAAAATAACTCCGGTGAGCTAATATGGTGTGTTGGGGGTGGGGGGTGAGCAAAAAGGGAGAGATCTTTTTAACAATCTTCCAGAACTCGTGGGCGCCTCCTCTCTCATTTCTACTTCTTCTTCTTCCCCTTTTCCTTCTCTTCTTTCGCCGGTGCTTCGTGACTTTCCCCCCCTTTTATAGAAAAAAAGAAATTTGCTGGCTTTTACCTCTCCGGATCTCCTTGATCGAGGGAGGGGCTGCGTGTGGATGTTCAGCGCGGAGCAAAGGGGATGTTGGCAGAACTCGCTCGAAGGCGAAGCGGAGGGCTTTAAATTCCTGGGTGGTGCGAGGAGTTGAGACCGGGATGGGAGTTTGGGGAGCCTCGCCGGTAGCAAGGCGGACGTAGGAAGCTTGATTTCGACTCCCTTTTATTAAATAAAGAGCACGAATCGGAGGATGAGTGCAATAAAACATTGAAAGGGGGGTATTAAGACTGGTTTATCGATGCAAACCCGAACCTTTGCAAAACAAGCAATCGAGCCTTTCGGGAATAAAATTAGTTTTCACAATGATTTAGATGAAATCCAGTTCCATAACTTGCAGATTTGTTTTAAAGTTGTTGTTCAGGGGCGAATGGAAACATTGGGGTGCAATCTTGAAAGTGCATATTGTGCCCTTTTTTGGAAAGGTGAAGGGGAACTCGTTCAAAAGAACCCCCCCCCGGGAAAACTCCCCCCCACACACACACACAATGGATGGAAATAGTCGATAACTGTATATTTGCGGGGTGTGGGGGGAGGGGACGGTCCTATTTGCGACCCGCAGGAGGTGTGGGGCTTTTCTCCCGCGGTCCTCCGCCTCTTTTCTTTCGAGCCCAAATGTGCGATTGTTGAGTCCGGTTAATGGTGATTTAAGAAAACGGCAAGCTGGCCAGAAGGCAATAAATCCCATGTTTAATGCATGACTGTTTTTCCTTTGTGCATGTGCTTAGGATGGGGCGGGGCGGGGCGGCCACTGGAGGTGATGTTTCTTCCGTGTAAATCTCTGCCCGCAGCTGGGGAATCACCTCCGGGGGGCTGGCTCCCTTGAAACAAAAGGGTTAATGACGCCCTCGGAGTGGCGCGCTCCGGGAAGGCGGGGCGGGGAAGAAGAAACAAGAGGGTTATCGGAGAATTATGACTTGGAGGAGCCCCTTTCCCGCTGCAGGCACCTGGATTGCAAATAATACTTATTATTTTTAAGTGCAAAACGTCGATCAAGCAATCCTTCAGCATTACTGGATTCCGATACTGCAGAGCTCTGTAACTAGGGGAGGAAATAATGGCAGGGCGGAGGAGGAGGAGGAGAAGCCCCGCGTGTCACTAACGCGCGAGTGCGTTGTCCGTAGTAAAAACACTCTTTAACTCGCGCGGAATTGTTTGAAGGTAACTTCTGGCGAGGACGCGTGGGAGAGTTGCTCTCTAGCGCCACCCAGGGGGCTCTGCCGGCGATGCGCCGCCGGTATTGGAAAAAAACGCATTTTCTCTTTATAAGTTCTTTCGGTTTTTAGTTGGGCGCTCGACCCGCTGAAATGAGATGCGCACATGGCTAACTTTTCGGTCCTTTCAGTGGGTAAAACTTAGCTGGTCACAATAATTCCATATGTTTATATTTCCCTTTTGCTGATATTGATGGTTTTTAGGGGCTAGGTTAAATCTGCACGAGCGACCTGCCTCCTAAAGCGGTTTCGGGATGCCTTCCCTGGAACTGAGAATGTGTCCGTGGTGCCCTTGGGGCGAAGTGAGGTGGGCCTTAGTCTGCTTGGTGTCTGGGTGAGAGATTTGTCCTCTTTTTCCCCGTCCCATAAAGCAAACTAGCAAGAGCTGTGTGGAAGCCGCTCTGTGCTAAGTCACTGATACATTTCTTTTGTTTCAGGAAAGTAGCTATTTCTTGGCCTTTTTTGCTGCAAGTGTGATAATAGAATTGGAAGGGGACACCCCAGGGTCATCTATTCCAACCCCCTGCAATGCAGGAATCTCAGCTACTTTAAAAGAATGCGGACTTTGATAGCGAAGCTACTGAGTTCATTGGGTGCTTTTGCATTGGTGAAACAGGCTGTGGTCCTTTAAAGTGCCAGGGAATGCTTTTTTTTGTCTTCTGTTGTCCCAAAAACCCCCAAACCCCAACAAGCGCCACTTTCCTGGAAAGAAACAACAAATGTTTTGCAACAAATGTCAGGTAGAGAAGAGCATGTGCCTTGCATGCACATAGGGATGAAAGTCAAGAACCTTGCCTGAAACTTTGAACAGTTGCTTCCAGTCAGTGTGGACAACGCTGAGCTAGCGATGTGACAAGTGGAAGGTAGCCTTTTGTGTTCTCTAAATGCATTGTTAGTTGCAGAGGGAGAGGGGTTGGGTGTTAGGAATGAGGGGAGAGGGAAATGAAACCCAAGAAGGAATATTGTTGCTTGATACCAAAATGTAGCCTGCCCTCCTGTATTTAGCTGCAGAACAGCCCTTCGAGGTAGGATAAGCATGGTTTGCCCAAGACCCCCCCACGGAGCTCTGTAGCTGAGTAGGGGTTTGGATCTGTGCGTCCTCACATTTAAACTTGCACTCTCTACAAAACAGCGCGGAGGATGTAGGAGCTTTCTCAAACGAAAGAGAAATGTGATGGAGATCTTCACTTTTCCTTCATATTGTAAGGTAGAACTTTATTGTCCTGGAAGTTCATTTAATAATAGAAAAGAAAGAGTAGCAGAAAGTGTTGGTGGGTGTCTGAAAACAGTTTTTCTCAGTTCCATGCATGGATTGCGCGTTTAAAATCACGGCAAGAACTTGAATATGCCCATATTGTGCACTTTTAAATATGGAAAGAGCAAAATTTGATCAGAAAATTCCTGCAAGGTTTCCTGCATATGCATAGCAAGGAGGCACAATTAAGCACAACACTTCTATCTTTGGGCTTGGGGGGAAATAAACGCAGACACAAAAATTGTGAAGCAATCTTAAGAACCATCTCAGTGAAGTGTGCGTGTGTATGTGTGTTTGCAGTTGTGTGGGGTGGGGTTGGGAATGTTGCTGCTAACCTAGTGATCAATTAGCAGGTCAAAAAAATAGCAGGTGGGTCACTTGAGAACAATAATTGCATACTGAAAATTAGCATTTTCCCCCTTGCATTTTAGCTGCCCATTGTGTTTGATAGCAGCCACAAGGCCAAATTCTTTTCTTTTTAATGCTGTGTAGAATGTAGAACTTTTTCTAACACTTAGGAAAATTCCAGACCTGCAACTTGTGCACAGTTTCACTAAAAAAAGAAGTAATTACTGCTCACTAGTGTGGTGAAACATGGCAGTTCCTTGCTATGGCAGCCATAACTCTTTAGACATGTGAATTGAATAACAAGAAATTCAACAAGAAAAAAGTTTTGGTTTTTTTAAAAAGGACCAACTTGCATAAATGGAAAAGATTAAGCAAAATAAATACCTTCTGATAAAATGAGCTCTCTTTAAACTTGCGTTGATGATAGATGTGGTGTTTATAGGAGCGTCTTGAGTTTATTTTCAACGTGATAAACTGAGAGAGTCCCAACTAAGATTTCATTTCCCCTCTGTGTTCTTTGCCTTGGAGAGATGAAACCATTTTTAAAGGAAGCAATAGGAGAATACCTGATTGGCAGGGCTGCTGGAGGCGCAAAGCATGGGGTGCTGTGCATGATGCCTTGTTCTTCGTTTTCTTCCTCATATCTCCCCCCCCCTCCCGGAAAAAAAATATGCCAGTGGAACACTATATTGGTTGTAGTGATCAGGCCTTTTCTGCGAAACCCCGGCAGCTTGTGACGTTTTGACAGAGCTGCTGCTCTAACCTTTGCCGCCTTCTGCCTGCTGTGGGTGGTAAGTTGATGTCAAGCTTACAATTAGGACTCTCATGCAATTGACCCTGGCAGCGGGGCTTTCGGCTGTTTAGCTTCGCCTTAAACACTGCGCTAGTGTTAAGTGTGGTTTGGAGCTGCCTTGTTTATAGTTGAGGGGTCTTGCTGGTGGAAGTAATTGAGTGAGGAAGAAGAAGCGGTCCTTGGCTAAGGTAGAAGTAAGATTTTGTTCTCGCCCCTTCCCTTTCTCTTCTGGGCACTGAGCTGTGATATATGGGAGGTGGGGTGTCT